CTGATCGCGTGTAACTTACCATCACTACTACATATACCATAGTTCCCACCATAGTTCCTGTAAATTGTGTTCAAGTTTTTATACTTACTTCAGATTCATATAAGATAGCTGAGCTAATAATTTTTAATCGTTAATGGTGAGGATATAGAGTAATCTCTTACAAATACCAATATTTTTATATGCCAAAGGACCTCTATTAAACGTCACTCAGTCGCTCCTAAGCAAAATTTTTAAAGTAGCAAAGTCTCAAACCTATAGTTATTCAAAGCAAAGGTTTCGGCAAAGAACTCCATTTACATAAATATAAGACAGAGAGGGGCGGATCCAGAGTAGAATTTTAGAGGGAGACCTAAATAATATTGTACTTGATTTAAGAAATGTTTAACTGAAGACTATAATTTTATTTTTGACACATATTTCAACATTTTGTTCTAAGCCAATTCTTGATAAGATACAAAGAAGAAAATAATCGTTCAGCGCTAACAATTGTGGCTGGAAAAATACCAAGTACGTGAAGAAGACTGTGAATGGTCGAATATATGTCGTCGTGAGGGCTGAGTGTTTTAAGGATAGAAAGCACTTCGGTTCTCGTAGTCATTTGCATCTTCGATTGCTGTTGCCAAGCGCTACTTCTGCCTTGAAGTTTGATTTTTGCAGCTCTTTGTTTCCTGGCAAGATTTCCCCAAAACGTTTAACTAGGCATTCAATGTGTATAGTTATATATTTTTCTGCTAAGTTTAGGTTAAAGTTTGGTACATTTTAAAAATTTCAAGAACTTCATCGGAAAACCGCGTTTTTAAATCTTGTATGACCGTGTCAATGAAGGCAAAGTATGCAGAAACCCTGTAGAAGCCTTCACAGCATTGGGATTGGCCGGTTGTTTCGATGACTCTGACGACCACATGTGCTGGGTTTTGACTTCAACGTCTAATTTTTCAGCCATCTGTGAAGCATTTCATTTAAGTGATGATCAGCGTGCATTCTTCGTGCAATCAGTGTTGTAACCAATGTTGTTATGCAAGTTTGATGCTTTCGAAAGGTTCATTCTGCAGAATCACACTAAGTGGCTGCGTCAGTGACAAAACATCACTGAGACAAAAAATTCCAACCATAAACTCGAAGTTGCAAAGTATGGTGACCAGATTCGACGATTTGACTGCAGTCGTTCTATTCTTCCATTCGCTAACTTTTGTCACTGCATTAATGACTTCTGGAAGGGCGACTTTGAATGTCATGTCTTTGTATCCACCTTGTCTCACAAAACTGCACAATATTTTCGCCCAAGAATTGAGCTAAAACAGTGTTACATTTAGGTCTTGAAACTTAGAAAAACCACCTATTGCAACGCATTCTTCAATTACTACTTTTTTAACCCATAATGCTGATGAACTTATAAAAAATGCAAAAACAAAAACTTATAAAAAGGCATATGAAATTTAGAAATCGCATGGCCGCGGTTGATTCTGTTAACAAAGCTGTAAATCTTCAGATTCCTTCTTCTTCGTTTCTTTACTGGCGCTTACACGGTTATAGCCGAGTTAACGTCAGCGCGCCAATCTTTCTTCTTTTGGCAAAGCAAGCCAGCTACTTCTCCACCTGGTTTTTCTATCGAACCACCATCTCTATATGCTTGTTTTGAATTGAATCCTCATAAGGTAAATACAATATATTAGCACATAAAGTCCTTTTTATCACGGAGTGTTGGGCGAATTCTCCCGCTATGACTTCTATCAAAAGACCTGAATTTGTTCCAAAACCAAGTAAAAGTCGAAAAAAAAGTTACTCACCAACATACCAAACATAACTGGTGAGGAGACGAGACAAAAAGTAGCTTAGAGCTACCTTAGTACAAAAATACTCCTCACCATAGATAGCAGTAGAAATAAATTTTAAATAAGTTTGATTAAAAACGTCCATAATACATTAACTATAATAAAGCTAATAAATATTAGACTAACTTTACTTTCCTGCAAGAAAACTTAATCGCTTTCTGGATAGGATAGGCAAACACCAATTTTACATGCTTAATTTCGCAATAATATTTTATTGTTTGTTTTCTTTATGCTAAGACACCCCAAATTTCTTCGAAATAAATTTTCCCTATGACTCGGAACGAGATTCTTCAAACTTTGCTATTTCTATTTGGCTCTTGTCGCGCCTGAAATCAATGTCATACATTATTTACATGTCAAACGTGGCAACAGGAATGTTATCTATCAATTTTAAATCGAAAAGTGAATACAAATGAAAGCAAAAACAAGAAAAAAGCAAGAAAATAAAAAACAAAACAAAAAGCAAATATTACCGATGGCTTCTTAATATTTTTCTCATTTTTCATGCCACGACACAAAACATTATTTAATAAAAGAGCAGAAAAATCGAAAGCAACAACTTATTTATAGCGAATTGTGTAAACAAAGTAAGCAAAATGTTGCACACACACACACATATGCCCATTGGAATTTATGCAAACACAGACAGGCACACACTCACATAGAAATATATATTGCATATCGGAAAGCAATCAACTTTTTATCACATGTCTGTCAACTATATGTTTGTATATATACATATATATGTATGTACATATGTGTGCTCGTATGTCATGTGTCATGCCACTCAGTGCTGCAATAAAATCAAAAACAGTTAGAGGTGTGGTAGCTGATGTGCTGTCAGTGATGGATCGTTATCAAATGAAATCACAAGTCACTGTAACATAAATGTGTATGTGTATATATGTGTGTGTGTGTAAAGCTTATCGGTGTTTGCTTAAAATACACAACAATATTTGCACGTGTGTATTTGTTGTAGGTAAGCATGCCATCGCTGTGAACATGTAATTGCGGCATCTCCGCTATTTGTGTTATTTTTGCGACTTTTTTGTTGCCTCCAAGGAACGGTACTTAACCTCAAGGACGACTGTTGGCACACAATCTCACTGCGAGCGCATATTTACAGCTGTTAATATGATGCCGTTATAAATAATGGTTTATTTCGTAAGCCCTGTATGATTGAGCGTTTTAACGGCATTTAATTTTTAATAGGTGTGTGGGATATTGATAGACAGCGAAGCAAGGAAGGTTATTATGGGTGTTCAATATACGTGTGAATACAATAGATTGAATATGTTTTTTTTTTCTTTTTTTTTTTTTTTTACTATTTTTATAAATAAATCCATCAAATCGAATGGCTGAAAGCGTGGGGGCATTGCTACAATTTATAATTTATTTTGAAATAAATTAATATGTGGTAATATAATTTTCGTAATATATCTGCTCAAGTGAAATATGAGACCACATACGGCATATGAGAACTGATTCAATATTTTCAACACTCGTCCCAATGAACTGAATTGCAGAAGCTCCACAGTACTAAGGTACAGATAAATATACACATGCATACACAAATCTAATAACAATTGACCCAGATGGAAAAAAACATTTTCTCGTATTTTAATACAAATTTTTATGATCGCCTGCAGAGTCACAGAGCCAATAAAACGACAACGTTTAATCGACTTCTCCATACACTTGTTATAACACTGAGCTAGGATGAACTCCAGTGCCATCGGCGAATTTTGGTTTTTTCATTCTTGAGTAATTTTGGCGAGTGGCTCTCTAATACGATAGATTGGTGGAGAATTTCGATCTTGTATTCATAAACCAATGTGTCGCCACCACTAGCGATGATCAATCTGATGAATTTCGGGCGCTACGTTACATTTTCAACCACATCTAGACCTACAAGTCCTTTGTAATACTAAATATAGGTTTGTTACTAACACGAGTTGAGCAGGACGTCTATTGTTTAGATAAATTTAGTAGAAACTTTATATCTAATTCATCAGTTGCTTAAACTGTGAAACTCCTAGATATTTAAGCCGGGTTCTTGATAAGAACAGACATAAGCAGAGGCGATATTCTAGTGTCTCTCTCATGTCTACTTTTCACCTGCAGTCTTTTCAAACCATGCGAGTAGAAAGTTTGCGTATTTTCCTACGGCTCCTTAGACATGATCTTGGCGCTCCTGCAGGCTTCTAAGGCACTCAAGCCATTTCTAAAAGTTTAGTATTATATATTGTTTCTAACAACGTGCCTATTTCATAGGATGGTTCGGTAATCAAGCAAATATCCCTTCTGGCAATGTCATCCGCTATTTCGTTTACCAGAACGCCCTTGTGGTCTGAAATACAGTATACTATATATGCAGCCGCTTTCCGGCAACCACTCCATCTACTGCCTCCCTGCTTCTAAGGAAATTCTCTGACACAATGCGATGTCAGATTATTTCATTAATTGCTGCTTGGCTACCGACGCTATGTATATATTGATATTTCCATTATTCCCTCAGTAGATGTATTGATTCTTGCAAATACTTCTGCCTGGAAGATACTGCAGTATTTCGCCTGATTGAAAAGTCACTTGAGAGCTAGCTCCGCGCAGTAGATCCCGGCGCCTGCTGCATCAAAATTTTTTTGATCCGTCCGTATATAAGACAAGAGTTCCGCTGGTAGATCGCATGCTGCTGCACCATCCAACTTCTTTTAGCCTGACTTGGAACCTTCTTTCTCGAATAAAATGTCAGGATATATGGCCTATTGTAACCACCGACCCCTGCTGCATGGTAAAAATGGCCACATAAACTTTTCGCCTTGTAAAAACACACTAATTTACATATGGGGATAAAGCATAGAATATTCAAAAATGTTCCTACATAAGTCCTAGTTAAATTAGTGAGATACAGATGAAACAATAAAGTGAAGTCAAATATTTTTGAAATAAATGGCTTCAGTACTACTACATCTCGCGTAGTATAAGTGCAATCGGGATATGCTATATATTCTATGAACTGCTTTATTCTGCCCTATACTGTCAACAATTAGACCGTCTGAAGGATTTAATTATATTATATGAAAGCATATTTAAGGCTACATATAACGGTTTAATTTTTCACCTAACATTATTAAGTACTAAAATTAAATTTTTTTTATTTATTTCTAGCAAATTGGTCGCTATATTAGACGTGAGGAGACTGCGTTTTTTACACCCAAATCTAGTGAGGTAAGCATATATCCTTTACAAGACTCAATTTTGCTTCGAGGTGTATATATTTGTGTTTAAATGTTGCCATAACCTCAAAAATATAATATTCAAAAATATTCATTTGTGTGCTTCACTAAATTTGTAATGTGTTTTGTGTGAGAGAATGTGAGTTTAATTAATAAATTTACTAATTATTTCATGTATTTCCGGAAATTTAAGCTACTATCTGCATAATATATAAATAGACGTAGAAACCTAAAGATTTGTATTAGAATTCCGTGGAAATTTTGAAGTTTGTATTGGATAAAATGTTCAGCTTTCATTTATTAACAATAGTTTTTTCTACTTTTAATAAAAATTGCCAAGACTTGCCTTTATTTCCTAAAGTGCTAGTATTAATCAATTAAAATAATATTATTATCAACAATTTTATATACTATCATCCTCTAGTTGCATTATGTAAATTATACTATTATAGCACAACTTGCTCACATCTTACCGGCAAAGCTCGAATACACTGAAACTATTAATCTTGTGATGCTATCCTAGAATCAAGTAATTTTTCGATGCCGTCTTGTGGGTGGAACTGTATTCGCCCAAACCGTGTGCTATTGGAAGAAACTAATAATAATGGGACGTTGCAAGATCTTGGGGTGGAGTCGGACTTCTCCATTCAGTGTGTCTGCGTAAGTTTTTACTGCTTTGGCAACGTTAGATCGAGCCCTTAAGTTTTCATAGAAAGAGGATAGAGCAAAATTACACCGAAACGACTTAAGCGATGACAATATAATTTTCACACGATATTCATAGATGCATTTGTCAGAAAGTGAATGATGAAATAAGACTTTTGGCAGTAATTCCGATTTGCAAAGAGTTACGAGAGTTTGACAGCCACAAAAAATGCATATTGTCAACAATTTGTTTCAAACAATAAGTGAAATATTTTACCTACTGAACTTTAAAGTGTACCAAAAAGTAAGACTTGAATAGTATTTTGTGAATCTTTCATAAAAACTTTTTGAATTTACAGTCATTCGAAGCTGGTTTCTGGAGGCTTAGGCAGTACGTTTACTGGCCGTTGTCAGTAAAACAGATGAAAGATTCATCTAAAATCACTTTGAGAAATTATTGTAGAGACATCATAATTTAAATAAAAAGAAAATGAAAAAATTAATATATTAACCCCATAAGTCACTTTGAACTATACATTTTTCATAAAAAAATACTTCTTTTGCGACGCCGCTATTTTGTCAAAAATTATAACTTTGACAAGTTCTTCCATCATAGCCATTATTATTGATTTATTGTAATAGTAGGTATCTTTAGTTTTTGGAAGTGGCACTTTCTCACCATCTATTAGTATGTTCGGAGACCCTGCGAGACTCGGCTACTGTTAAGATTTACCCGTGGCATGAGATTATTGGACTCAAAATGTTTAAAAAAGTTCCACATTTTTAGAGCATTTCAATACTTTTAGTTGTAGGTTTGTGTGGGCATATTTATTTGTTGAAAGTTCCATATATTACGTAAATTATGCATGTGTGTGTATGTATTTTTGTACTAAGCATCCGCTGAAATTCGACGCCATCTACTAATATCACAACACTTACACACAACACTGTTTCTCTTTCTTTCCATGCCATCACTTTGCCTAAACACCAACTATCAACAACACGTTTAACAACAACAATAACTACAACAAAAATGCACTAACAACTACACAATAACGCCTATTAACCAACGCTAACTCACACGAAACTATCAACCGCATATGGGCCTCCACTCTTTATGCACCTTAAATGCGTATGCGTGTGTTTGTACACATGCTTTGTCTAACTAACAACACCACTACACCGCTAACAACACAAACAACCAAAAACGCAACCGAACTTCAACTGAAAATGCGCGAGAATGACATAACAGCTACTCCGAAAATCACAGGGGCAAATCATTGACAACCGAAGCAATGACAACAACAAAAATACTGGCAGTAATAACGGCAATGGCAACAACGTCACAAAGAGCAACAACGCAAATGGCAGCTTGGTCAACAACGGCAGCGGCAATGTCAACAGTTTGCCGCCTAAAAAATTCATTTCCAACAAAGCACACAATCTCAGCCGCAACAATAGTGCCAACAAAAGCAACAACAACAGCAACAAATTCAATGCAAGCAACTCACTATTGAAACCGGTGAAAGGACGACGGCCGACGGCGCTGCCGAGCGATGCACCAAACTTAGAGGAAGAAGAACAACGCGATGATGTTGATGGGGTTGTTGAGGGGAGAGCGCCAACAGAGCTCGACAAAATAGTGGAAGCGCAGACTGGTGCGCTACATGTCGACATAAAGCAGGCTAACGGCTATCGGAGCAACAGCAGTGACAAGGATACACCCACCACGCCGGGTTCGACGCTGGCGGTGCGCTTCTTTATTGGTCAGCATGCGCACGAAGAGGACGCTGTGTCCGCGGAGTCTTTAGATGCCGGCAGTTATCGCAGCATAAAAGCGGTAACGACGCAAGGCAGCGAACATCAACAACAACACCAACAAAAGCAAACAAAGAAACTACTCTTGCACACGGCTCATGTTTCGGATAGCACCAACAACGCCAGCACCTTTAGCTCCCTGCTGCAACTGCCCGCACTGGGCAGCCATGAGTGGACCCCACAACACAGCAGCAATCGGTTCACCAACGCCACCTCCTCACCCTCGCTCTACGGACCGCAGGCGACGACACGCAAATCGAAATCGAAAAGTTGGCGCAAAGCACGGGGCAGCTCACCACCTGCGGAGGACCTGCACATACCACCGCCGCCGCCGTTGCCGCCGCTGCCGCTCACCAGCGCCTCGTCGTCCGCTTCGTTGCTTTCGTTGCGCAGCAACAAAATCAAGCACAGCTCTAGCTCTGCGGTCGCCACGTTCACCGCAGCGTCGTCGCATATCGAGGAGGGTGGCATTAGCGCCAATGCCGAGTTTGCCACGCCGGCCGGTTACGATGTGCGTTACGCTGGTACTGGCTCGGCGGAGGCAACAACAGCGGCGAGTGATGCAACAAATGACAAAGTAAGCACACACTATTTGTGTAAGCGACAAAGGGGGGGAACATACACCATTTTTTGAGGTGGTTGTAGTCAAAAGCTCGTGGGTCCTTTAGTGTACATTTCCACCCGTTTTAGTGTAGTTGTTGCCATTGAGCGCATTTAATTGACATGCTACTGAGAAGTAGATAAATATGTTCAACAATTTGTGGCAACTTTCAAAATTCCTCAGTAAATCTATTTCGCCGACACTCACGCAGCGTAGCATGTGGTTAGTAAAGCTTTTATGCTAACATTGAAAATCAACAGAGTTTGCCACAAATGAGTTTCGTAAAGTGTCTATTAGAGCACAGTGCATGTCAGCATTGTTGACGTAGGTTTTGTGGCGCGTTTAAGAGCAGCGCTATGTGCTTTGAGGCGCGCGAAAGTTCTGAGTTAGATTTCGAGTTTACAACTGTGGTTAGCTCTGATTTATCTTGAAATCTTATAGGCAGTGCTTTGTGCTTTCATGCGGGTGAAAGCTCTCAGGCATACTAAGAGCTTACTTTGTGCATTTAAGCGCATGAAAGCTCTGCGCTAGATTTCGAGCTTTCATATGTGGTTAGTTCTGATTTTTTTGGAAGCTTATGAGCAACACTATATGCTTTAATGCGGGAGCTAGTCCAAATACAAACAAGTTACACAAAAGATACTCTCAGCATTCCACACTCTCTAACAAATCTGTTCCACATGCATTGTCCTCTCATTCTGCACCTATTGTTAGCAAATACATTATTGTCCGAATTTTATTTTGTTGAAATTGTCCATCTCTCAGTCCAAAAACTTGACAAGTATTTATCAAAAATGTATTTTTATATTTCATGTCTTCAGTTCAGCCTTGAACGTCAGTTCTACACTCTCAGTGAAATACTAAATCTCAGCGACAATTCAACAATAACCATCAATAGTGAACTTGGCCGTGATTCAGGTGTACTCGTAGAGGTAATCACAAACAAAAACACTAAAAATAAAAACAAATTTTTGAACTTAGCTCAAAATTCGAAAATGTTCGGGCAGATAAAGTATTGCAAAATATAAAACCGGGAGGTGAACCCAACACATAATAATCAAAAAATAGTATCGAATACTAAGCAACAAGAGGGCATAAATCGCTGTACAAAATCTCAATTATTTTCTAACTGATATCTTGGCTAGTTTGGCATCTGAGAATGTCCTTCTCATCGAGAATTTCTGCATAACCATATTTCGAAAGTCCGGGTGACAAACAAAGATAACTCAGCAGAGCTTTATTCTCCAAATGATACATATCTTTCGCAACCTTCAGCCCCTAGCTATAAACATTACCGCATCATTAGGCACAGACCTTTTGAACTTTTAGGCCAAAAACGTAAACAATGTTTACTATTAATTGATATATTTGCTATTTTGGCATCTGTGAATATCCATCTCATGGAGAATGACTTCATATCCTATATTTTCGGAATCTGAGGTGAGCGTTAGGCTCTCTCAACAGAGCTCCCTTCTCCAAATTTATCAAAGCTTTAAAAATTTGTAAACATTGCAATAACAATAGACCGAAACTTTTTTGACCTGGACGTCCGGAATGGATCCGAAATTTCTGTCCGGTCAAGGACTGTCAACTCGGCACAATTCTGCCACCAAAACAACGACAACAATAGACACTTTTAGATGAGAAGGTTAGAGTGGCTGTAATCGTATGCTTAAATGTTGAATTGATTTGATTTGGAATGCAGTAGAAACAAAACGTCAGTTGAAGTTATAAAGTATACGTTCTGGGGTTCGCTAGAAAGAACACAGATGTTACCAGGAAGTCACACGCAATATTATAATATTTCTTATGAGGAGACTTAGTTCACTTCATAAATAGTCACCTTAGCCGTGAAGAAAAAATAATAAGATTCTCGTTTGTATAAATCCGGTGGTAAAAGAATGGTCCAAAGTTTAAAAATATTATTGGCGAATTTATTATTTATTTATTATATTTTCGAACCGCGACAATCAGACTCCGAATCGACGTGAGAGATGTTAATAGTGCTCAAGTTTTTCAGAATTTGTGGGCAAAACTTTCCTTTGAACCCAATTTTTTACTTCCAGAGGCAGATTTAGTAAATTTTTGCAAACTATGAAATGTAATGGGTATATGACTTTGGGAGAAATGAGTGGTTAGATGTAGAACGCAGAAGATTTCAATTGAGATTCAAAAGTAGGTATTATTCTTAAGAGATACATTCGCTAGAAGGAAAAATATTACGAATACAATATTGTGAACTAATCTCTTATAAGTCGACTGAGAATTACATTAAGTGCTAAAAGAAAGATCCAGGGGCTTAGAATATTGTAGGTGATATTTCTGAAACTCTGAATTTGATTTCCGAAACGCTGCTTGTCATTAGAAACTCTAAGGATTTTTGATCAAATTCAAGTCATCACAGCGACATATGACTTAAGGTTCGAATCTAAAATAAGCTAAAACAATTAGACCTACGCTTAACTTCCAAGGGCTTACGAGAAAAAAAACCCAAGCTAATCCCAAAAAACTACTGAATCTTTTTCTGTAGCTTTCTAATCAAAAATAACCAATTGATAACTTTCGTTAGACAATTGCGAATCGGAACGAATTGAAATTTATAAGAGTAAAGTCAATAGTCTCTAGATCATAGTTAAATCATCGCAGTATCGCATGCCTTCATGGTCAAACTCAAATAAAGATAAGATAGTTCGTCCTAGTCTTAACTTATAAGAGCATACAATAGACTCTACTACTGATACACTCTAAGCTAACCCCAAGAAATTTTTAACTAATAGAACCCTATCGTGTAACTCAAAATAACCAAATCGAAACTGAGCTCAGCAGCCGCAATTCAAATCGCAGTTTGTAGTAAAGTTTCCAAGAGTCTGGAGGTAATAACCCATTACAGTAACATCTGATTCCATGGTGAACCCTAAACGAAGACCTAGCTTGACAGTTCTTATAAGAAGACTCCAGCAGCATTAAAGCTCAACCTAAATTGAATTACTTACTTACGGATTCCTATACTATAACTTTCTCGCTCAAAAAACCAAGCCGGATCAGAGCTTAAAATGTAGTTTGGCGATTCCTACACTCAACTGGATTCTCTCGTCCCTGCTACTTAACAATGTAACATCTAAAAAGACTTTCATTACCCCAATCTCACCCGTATAATCCTGTAGTAGAATAAAAATACAATGGTATACCTAATTTCAACTCACGAAAATTTAACTAAAATATCGAAAATCTTTCCAAAGAAAAGTTGGTATTTAATGAGAATAAAGTTAGAGTTATTATTAATATTATTATTATGATTATTAGAGAGAAAAATAATCATTTCTGAAATATTCTCCTGTTAAAAATCATGCTCAACAAACGTATATTGGCCTAGGTCCACATTACGTGCTTTTTAAAGCGCCACCCCAATGCCACTTCGGTAGCTCCAATTAAGTTTGCGAAATTGCACTGTTTATAGCTCAATTTCGAAAAGTACACTGCTGTCAGACCTTCGATTTATTGCTCAATTGTGCCCCTATTTGTTATCTCAATTTCGCAACACACATTTATTTTAACAACCTCCATATATTTATTACTTCTTCACACACACATGCACACGCGCACACATGAACAACGAACAACGCGAAGGAGCAAACATCAACGCCAAAGGAAAGTGATAACAGCGACACACCACAGGTTCATCGCGTCGAGGGCGGTCTGATATTCACGCGTCCTAATTTGCCCGCCAAGAAGGACGTACATATCGAATTCATTGAAAAGGATAATGAGTAAGCGAAATCTCTAAAAATTTATTACCACACACATACTAAAGCAAAGTAATAATACATATGTATACACACATACATCCACTCTCTTTGCACACATTTACACAATGGCTTATCCCTCGCTTGGCATGCAGAACACGCAATCTCATACGCAAGGCCATCGAACGCAATGACTTCCTCAACAACTATATGGACAAGGAGCGCAAGGAGATGGTCATCGATGCGATGGCGCCAACATTCTACAAAAAGGACTCTTACATTATACATGAAAATGATGAGGGTTCGGAAATTTATGTCTCCGAAACGGGTTACTTCGATGTGATCAAGGGTGGCAAGGTGGTGGGTAGTTTTGGGCCGACGACAGTTTTCGGTGAATTGGCCATACTTTATAATGCTAATCGTTTGGCATCGGTTAGAGGTGAGCGCAATTCACAAACGAAATGGTGCTGCCTAATGAGACGCACATAATGTTCTCTCTTCCTCTTCTTTATAGCGACGACAAATGCGCGCGTGTGGAAAATCACACGTGAGACATTCCGTCAGATTATGGTGCTCTCCGAGTCAAAAGAACGGGATGAGAATTTAACATTTTTACGTGCGGCGCCATTCCTTAATGATCTCTCGGATGCGGTGCTCAATAAAGTGGTGGATCTGCTGCAGCGGGTGAGTAGAGAGTATGGTGTATAGAGTCAATATAAAATTTTGAATTCCTTTGACGCACAGAAATACTACGAACCCAATGCCTGCATAGTGCGCGAAGGCGAAGTGGGCAATGAGTTCTTCATTATACGTGGTGGTACGGTGACTATCAAAAAGAAAAATGAGCAAAATGTGGAACGTGTGGTAGATCGACGGAAACGTGGTGATTACTTCGGTGAACAAGCGCTGCTGAATGCGGACCGACGGCAAGCCAGCGTATATGCGGATGCGCCAGGCACTGAAGTGCTCAAGTTAGACAGAGAGTAAGTATGCTATCAATCGAACTTTTGAATTTCACCAAATACATTTATAACATAAGAGCTTTCACGTTTTAAAAATTTTCACTTGAGCATTTGGTCAGAGCTTTCACGATTTACTGATTTCATTATGTAATAATACTACGAGCTAGTGTGTAACATACATCAATACGCCAGGCAGTAAAGTACTTAAATTGAACGAAGAATGAGTGAGAGTTCACTTAAACTTTCACTAATGAGCTTACATCAAATAAGTTTCCATTTTAACAACTTTCGCGACTAATTAGTTTTCACTTGCGCTATCACCAGATACATTTTTTTCGAGTTTTTAGGATTTTTCTAGAGCTTTCGTTTTACCAGATACATCTAAGAGCTTTCACAGTTTATCAATTTAGCTTTAGTTTTCACTTAAGGCCTTTAGCAGATAACAATTTTAAGAGCTTTTACAAATTCCCTTGAGCTTGCGGTTAGAGCTTTTACCAAGAAATTTCCTCTCAACTTCATGAGCTTTCACCTCCTGCGATTACTCAATTCATTTAATTTAATAAATATAAAATTATTTTTCGAACAAAATTACAAAAATATCGATATTTTCAACCAATAGAGCCTTCATCAGTTATCTTGGCACCATACCACAGCTGCGCGAGAAGCCCGAAGAACGTAAATCGGCCGAACGCAAGCAGAGCACGCGACAATCTGAATTTGACAACGAATACGCACACATACAGCTAACTGATCTAAAAAAGGTGGCAACATTGGGTGCTGGCGCTTTCGGTTGTGTGGATTTGGTGACGTACAATGATAAAACTTTCGCATTGAAAATCATCAAAAAAATCGATGTCATCAAACAAGATCAGGTAGAGCATGTTTATAGCGAAAAACATGTCATGATGAAGTGTCGCAGCTCACCGTTCATAATAGAGTAAGACTTATGCGAAAGTTTCACACACTTTGAGCTTTAAAGCTTACACTATTTGCTTTCTTTTAGGTTATATAAGACTTTCCGCAATGAAAAATTCGTTTACTTCCTAATGGAAGCTTGCATGGGCGGCGATGTTTGGACGGTTATGTCGCAGCGCCGCTTCTTCGATGAGCGCACTGCCAAATTCATTGCCGGTTGCGTGGTGGAAGCTTTCGACTTTTTGCACGCACATAATATTATTTATAGGGATTTGAAGCCGGAGAATTTAATGTTAACGACGGATGGGTATTGTAAGTTGGTAAGTTAAAGCACACTTTAGTACTGAAAAAGGAACATAAAACAACTTATTTTTGAATTCACTACAAAGGTTGATTTCGGCTTCGCCAAGCACATACCACCCAATCAAAAAACGAACACCTTTGCCGGCACACCCGAATATGTCGCGCCGGAGATCATTTTGGATCGCGGCCATGATCGCGCTGTCGACTATTGGGCTCTGGGCATATTGATATTCGAATTGCTTGTGGGTAAAACACCATTTCGCGGACAAAATCAAATCAAAATTTACCAGCAGATATTAGGCGGCATTGACGTCATACAAATGCCCTCGAAGATACCGCGTTCAGCACAGGGACTCATCAAACATTTATGTAAGCAATTGCCTGCAGAGCGGCTGGGTTATCAGCGACGCGGCATTTTAGATATTAAACGGCATAGGTGAGTTTTGAAAGCATGGAAGAAGAGATTATTATAAAATAGAATTATATTACAGTTGGTTTGACAATTTGGACTGGAATAAGTTGAAATACAAACAATTGCCGTCACCGATCAAGCGTCCCATAACTTGCAACACCGATTTGCAGTACTTTGGACCAGCTGGTGTGGAGAATGACTACGATCCGCCCGATGAAACGAGCGGTTGGGATATTGATTTCTAAAGAACGCAAGAAATGTTAATATTTTTTCGAAAAAGCAATTTATATATTATATAATTAATGTTAGAATTAAATTATTTATAATTATTTTTTAAGCGTGAACTTATTTTAAAATTAATTAAATTATAATTATAATGGTTTAAGCGACTTATCTTGACAAAATATCTTTATAAATTTGTGCATATTTTAGACAGACCCCAATGGTCATGCCGAATTAGTTAGATATTTTATGAAAATTGAGACAAAAAATTTAATTATTTCATTTACAAATGTGGATTGATAAAAAAAAATAATTGCCTGGAGAAGAAAATTGAATTGAAAATTGAAAATAAAGATTAATTGATATTAGAAGATCATATGTTTATATTGAAATGCTGATTTATATAAACCGAGCTACTTCTATTCAAAGAGTTATCTCATTTGGACAGCTTAGAACGCCAGTTCAATGTTTTACCCAAAAAAAAAGGCTGGAAAATAGAATAGAGTGTGTCTGGAGGCTTTTCTTCTCACACTCCTCTATATAACTTTACAACCAGCGATATGAGTACTTAACCTCACCATTCTATGGCGACTTCGTCCTCATCAAATTTACTATATTCTAAAACATTTTAATTTACGAATGTCTTCTAATAGTTTTGTTTCTAGCCAAGTCAAAAGACTGGGCTCTAATCATTTGTACAACATTAGGCATCCGAAAACTGTGGTGCATTCGCATTTCGGACAAAAAGCGAAACCGTGGGACCACATCATAGTGTTCGACATTACTTAAGCGCAAATCGACGAAGTTTCGGCGTCATTTGATGGCTGTTAGCGAAACTCGAATCCACTAAAACACACAAGAGACCAAGAAGCAGCCGAAATAGTGAACTTGAATCGACGAATTGTTTTCTAAGAAATTAATGATATTAGCATAAAAACCAAGAGTCCCCTTTTTTAAAATTCACATTCCCTAGCCTAATTGGGCGAGTCTAGCCACGAATGCGTAATTCGCCAAGTAGAAATTGTAGTCAAATGAAAAGAGAATACTCGAAAGGAATATTTTACAGACATCCAAAAAATTTTACAGACAGTTGAGAAAAGTTAGAGCTTCCTTAGGGACAAGTGTAACGAACTAACAAGAGACTATGTTGAGAAATCACGCGCCATTTTTCCAAACTTATCGTTTTTCTTGTCTATGCTGAGGACTTATCGAACCTCATATGATTTGAAATACCAGCTGGTATTAAACTGAAATTTATATCTTAAGGGATTATAGCTGCTTGTAATTTTCAAAAAATCGAGTTCTATCTGCGAAATCGATGAGGCAAAAATTTTCGAAGATATGAGCATATTAGTGGGAATTTTTTGAGCTACTATAATCGCCTCCCAAAGCTTTATACGCGTTTTTCTTAAAATGCTGTTTTCAGAGTCGTTGAGAAGACCACACCGAAACGGTTGGATGAATGGACTTGAAATATTTAGACTATCTTCTACGATATAGTTATCAGGTTCTTATTGAAAGAACAAGATTTCGGTTAGTAATTTTATGAAATGTAATTTTTTAACCAAAAAAATATTTATTTGGTAAGCTGCTATTTTGTCCTCAAATTTTCCAAAAAATAAAAAAGCTCACTAGTCTTTCGACCAAAAAACTTGTAAGAAGACGACTCAACCAAGCTCAACTTTTTGAACAAATTACCAGAAAGAAAGTACCCCTGTCAAAACTACACAACGCAATTTCCCCACATTCAAATTAGGCAGTTGTAAACTCTTAACGAAACAAGCCAGCACAATTTTGGAGAAACGTGCTTTCGAGCAACGCATCCAAAATAAATAGAATGGGTTTAGATAAAAAAACATTTCAAAGTCGCACAAAAAGTCAAGCCCTTAAAACAAGATATAGCAAAAAAAACCATTAAGCATGGCGGTGTAAGTATCATGGTTTGGACCGCGTTTTCATGGCACGGTGTGGAGCCAGTTCTTCGAATAAATGGTAAAAATTACTGGCTTTAGTAATTGGGTATAGTGAAGAATAAAATGGAGCCAGTGGTAATTGAATCCATGTCCATAAACTGAACATTTATACAAGGCAATCATTTGAAGCACAGTGCGAAGGAAGTAAAGCATTGAGTCGACAATGAAAAAATTAAAATATTGGTTTGGGCTGCGCAAAACTCAAGAGAAAATTTATGACATATCACATATGATATCAAGACCAAAATAGCAAGCAAAAAACTCAAAAACGTTGATGATTTATGTGCTGAAATTGAGGAGTCTTGGTGTTCAATCCCAAAGGAACAATGGCAAAAACTGATGCACAACATGCAGCGAAGATGTGAAGTGGTGATTAAAAATTGTTATATAGTACAAAATACTAACGAAGTGTACATAAAATTATTATTATTTGGTATATAAAAGGATAAAACTTTATTTATATTTTAAATGAAACACTGCTCCAAAACAAAATTCAGTAGTAACGCGTTCTTTGTGACTTTCCAGTAAATGCATTGTCAGTTGCAATTATAACAACAACACAAACAAAACACGCTTTTAGAACTAATAATCTAATTCATTCTATTAGTGCCGGTAAATACCATTATTAATACAATAACAAGCCAACAATGTGAGCAGCGCACAAAAACAACACAACAACAAAAGTCGCATATCGCACAAAGAAAACCGCAGTATACCTTCGAACAATTTATATACCCATTCGCATGCATATATATATATAGCTTTGTACGTATACATGGCAATAAAGGTCCTTAGTGTCATTAACTATTAACGCAAACATTGTTACATGCGCGCTTTGTGTAGTAACATGCATGCAGTTAAACACAAATGTCGCTTGCAACAAAGTGTTGCATGTCGCATTACAAAGCCAACAGGCACACATACAAAAGCGCAGCGACAAGTCACGTGTTATGTGCAACAATTATGCCGTCAGCAACAGTAGCAGCGCGATGGAAAAGCAAAAACTTGCAACGAAGCGGTGCAACAATGGCAGCATAGCTGTGCAGGCAAATGGCACACAGGCATGTAGAACAATAAGAAACAAGTTTTTATATGTAAATAGGCATTTTTATGCTTATTCACGCCGGAGCTGAAATACAATTGTGGCTGTGCAGCGCTGAACTTTTTGTTGCCAATGTCACTGCAAAGTGTTGCCAGTCGACGTCGACGTTGCGACATTGATAATGATAATGATAATAATCAGTGGGAAAAGTCATAGTAATAATAAGTTTTTAAATAAGTTTGGGTATATTTAAATTTTGATATGGCTTGATAATATATTTGGAATGAAGTGAGAGTTGACAGTGGTGGACTTCGAATACTTTATCGAAGGGAGTGTGGAGCAGTCATATATTGCATATAAATGTTCTGGAAGCATTCGACCTACGATAATATATTTACATCTTGAACAAAATTAAACAATGTGACGAGCTGAGGCGATTTAGCCAAGCTTATTCGTTTGATTATACGCGAACCAATCTCATAGTTTTGAAATATCGATTACAACTTCTTATATCGGATCACTATAGCATATTTAAAGTGGCCGAGCAAACTATTTTTTTTTTTTTTTTTTTTTTTTTTTTTGTTTTGTGAAAAATATGATAGATAGATATAGATAGTTAGGGTGGGTTACCAACCAACCTTAGGTTTAAAAAAATCGTTTTTTTTATTATCTTATAAAATTCTGCAACGTCTTTGAAATATTGTCTTAAATTTTCAAATTGATTTCTCGAAAGCTATTCAACAGATCTTTACGAAATTTTACACAGGTCTTTATGATATAGTTCTTAGAGGCTTTTTTGTTTTGTTGAAATGTCTGCCAAATATCCAATTTTCCATTTTTTTTTACTTTGTCTGCAAAAACACGTATTTTTTCAATCTAGATGATGCAGTAGAGAGTTAACCTGTCAAAGTGAGCGCATTTTTTTCGAGTGGTCAGCGAAAGTGGTGCCGCAATGGCTGAGTTTGAAATATTTTGTTTTCAAAAATTTCAGAATTTCTTTATGTTTGTAACAATAAATAATTCTAATAAAATATTTAATTTGTTCAAATTGTTGGAAAAATGCTGTTTTTTACCCGTGGAAACCCATGAAACCCCTTAATAGACCTTTGAGTCGATACGTAAGTTGCATTTTATATTTCGGGATCTGGCAACCCTAGTGTAGTAATCTGGCAATCTCCCAACTTTATCGTAATATTTGACATTTTTGGTGCTTTAGAAACTCAGAATGTTTTGACATACGAGCACTGTTTGTGTTGCTTACAGTAACTTAAAATATTCTTCTCGATCAAAAAATTTAATTTAATCGCGAACATTTTCGGCAGTTTATTTTTTACAACTTTCTTTCTCAGCAACAGTGCAATTATGAACTTAACTTAGTTTTTGGCCATAAAACTCTATCACAGGTCATAATTTTTCTATATCTGTACATTGGACTGTAAAAGTTATTTTTTTTACGGTTGATCGCACGCAATTTCTTTATCGCTCAAAAAAGGCTCATGCCGATTGGTCACAAAAAATGTTAAAAAATACGATAGCTGTGCTTTCGAGTTGAGATGATGAAATGTGGATTTACGCGTATGCCACTAATCGCCGAAGACGGATCAGTCTTCATCTCGACAATGCAAACTCTAACATGCCGACTGACACAATCGTATTTTTGAGTACTCAAAACACCAATTTGATGAATCATTCAACGCATATTCATTCCCCTATATCAAAGATAAACTAATAGGTCGACGAAAATTTATTCAAACTCATACAAAGTTATAGAGATCTTAATCTGGATTTTTATAGAGAAACAGTAAAGCGATTTTCGATGATTAAAATTTTTATTTTTTTTTTTTTTTTTTTGTTTGTTCTCTAACCCACAAATATAAAAAGCAAGTTCGTTTCCTCTTAAAATCATATTGTTCTGCGAAGAAATGCTCCTTCTCCCTCGCAATCCTTCTCTTATCCTGCCTGTTTCCCTTTTTTCTTTCTATCTCCTTCTATTTCCTCTCCCGCTCTCATCGACTTGAAATTGTGAAATTATTACCATTTTTCTTCACACCACATTCTTAAATACGACCAAATTTAAAGTTTTAAATACAC